TATAAAATGTCATCATCACGCGAATTGTATAAAATAATGTAAATGGGTCACAGACACATCCCATAGGGGTCCCTTAGATTAAAAAACCGGAACACGTGTTGTGATGTAATCTACGAGCATGGCTGGGAGATTTCATAATCGAAAGCCATCTATGTTTACATTTTGTTCTAATTTGTCGATATAAATATAAACATTAACCTATTCTCAGAGATGTGGGTGAAGTAACAATATTTTTACTTCTCAGTATAATTTATTTTGCTACTAAAATGTTTCTCTAAAATAGATTGGAGTTCGTATACAAAGTTTGGGCGGTAAATGCTTATGTATCTACATGACTTGTCTTTTGAGACCTTCATCCAATATTAAGAACTGATGTATTTTTCGTGAGACTTATAGGAGACCACCGGACAAAAATTTTAAAATTTGTTTTTTTTAAAGACAGCCAAAAACCAGACAGACAAAAATTTTAAAAATTGATGTTTTTTTTTTCTTATACGTACCGTATATATGTACTCCCGTCGCATTTAGTAAAAAGCTGTTATTTTGACATTACAAACAAACACTTTAATTTTATTTATCTGTTTGTATAGATTTACTAAAAAAATAATTATGAAAGCGTTTTTGAATTGGAGAAATATCTCGAAAAATACAGAAAATTTATAGATGTAATAGATACCTTTAGCAGCATGTTTTTACTTTCTGAAGTCGGTCAAATGTTAAATTTCTACAGAGTATGGACTTTGGAGAGAAGTTAATCATAAAGTTAACTATTATTGTATTATTTTTATTGCTCATTCATTAAAAATTGGTTAAAAATTAAACAAACGATAGAAACCATTGTGCTCCGTTATTTTAAATACGTTTTATCATTACAGTGAATTTTCGTTGTATATATTATAATGATCGCTATTTATTAAGAAAATGGGGAGAATCTATGTATGTATTCAGCCCTTTTTAACGTCCCACAGCTGGGCACGGGCCTCCCTTCAAAACGAGGGGGATCAGGCCATAGTCCACCACGCCAACTCCACTACTGGCCAAGTGCGGGTTGGCGGACGTCACATGTCTTTCGAAGACTTGCTAAGTTCTCTCAGACATGCAGGTTTCCTCACGATGTGTTCCTTCACCGTAAGGCAAGTGGTAATCATGTTAGAAATGATTCGCACATAAAAATATCAGAGGTTCGAGACCCGGAATTTGAACCAACTTCACTCGGTTTCCCAAGCGAGCGCGTTACCACTGGGCTAACCTTGCCCGTGAATCTATACAAATATTATAAAGAGGCCGTTTGTTAACAGAGTTAGTTTGTTTATATGTTTGTTTGAACGCTCTAATCTCAGGAACTACTAATACGATTTGAAAAATTCTTTTTGAATTAGATAACCCGTTTAATGAGGAAGACTATAGGCTATATATCATCATGCTAGTAATAAATCGGGCAGCCTTCCATACATTGTTACTAATAGCATAAAGCCAAACAGCTTTTTTTGTAGTCTTAGCGCGAAAGAAGCCGTGGGTTCTGCAAATATTTTGTGATTTCAACTACAAACTCAGACATTCTTGACTACTTGAGACGGTGAATCCAAACAAGTTGCATTTAATTATCGACACGCAAAGCATAATTTTATTGCAATTATTGTCGTCACTCGTCTATACATATAATAAAATTGTAACTAAGTCGAATCTGTACATTAAATATTTTTTTGAAAATCTTAATGAAATAGATATTATTATCGATAGAGAGGCCGAATCTATAGTTTTTAGAATTTTTGTCTGTCTGTCTGTTACCGCATCACGAGAAAACCACTGGACAGATTTTGATGAAATTTGGTATGATGGTAGCTGGTTATCCGGGTCAACATATAGGACACTTTTTACCGCGGAAAAATATCTCATTCTGAGAAAAAATACAAAAACTGCATTTTATGAGTATACTAATATGTAAAACCTAAGAACTTGGTTTTTGGTCATCTGAACGCGGGCGGAGCCGCGGGTAATACTAGTATAATATAAAAGAGAATTGTGAAACAAAATGATTATGACATTATTATGATTTTATCTTTGGCCGCCGGTACGATACCTGATAGTAATATGTCTACCCAGCGAAGTGAAATATTTTATAGTAAATATGTATTTTTTTTTTGTTTTACGACTATAAAGGAAGTCTGTGTGGGAAGTAATTGCAATCAATTAGATAAAAATTTAGAAGAAATATATTAGAGCGCTTATTTCTACTTCATTTTTTACAAAAATTGTGTCCAAGTATGGATATTTGAAATTCAAATAAGGGTCGTTATTGCTTATTCAGCTATATTGTGACAATTAAAACACGAAATATTTTTCATACATTTCGGAGTTTCAACAATTAGAAAAATCTATTTTACTGAATTTTCTTAATTTTAATTAAAGTAGGATTAAAAGTTAGAGTTTGTTTGTTTGAACGCGCTAATCTCAGGAACTACTGATGCGATTTGAAAAATTCTTTTTGCATTAAATAGCCCTTTTATTGACAAAGGTTTATAGGCTATAAGTCTATCTATTCCATACTAACCGTTGAAACATACCTAGGGACGAACCCAAGCGAAGCGAGAGTGAGTCGCTAGTTTGCATCTATCTCCTTGGCAGGATTGCATTGTATTTAGAATCATACATCTGACTCAGTCCATGATGTCACGGTGACACTACCGCGCCGTAGGTAAAGCGAAAAGTGGCAAAATTCAATGTTTATTTACCACGAGAATAAACATGAACGCATTTTATGACACAGTAATAAAATTATATATTGTATAGTGAACTTTGTTACTTTCAAAGGGCGACCTAGATAAAACTAGCCACTATTTATTTATAACGTGTATGCATTAGTAAATATCAAGTCCAATAGAAATGTAGAGTCTGGAGAGGAAGAGTCATGGGTAAAACATTTTAGATTAAAAGAAATTGATAGAACCGATGTGTTTCTTTCGCTAGTTTTTCCACGAGACATATACGAGTATGTATATGGTAAATTAATTTCAAATTAAAATCTTAATTAGTTATGTTATGAAAAAATATTTTACCTTCTGTATTCAGCCCTTTGTAACGTCCCACTGCTGGGCACGGGCCTACCTTCAATACGAGTGGGATCAGTGCATAGTCCACCACGCTGGCCAAGTGCGGGTTGGCGGGCTTTTTTTTACCTTTTTACCTTATTGTTAATAATAATAATAATGTTTGTTTGAACGAGTTAATCTCAGGAACTACTTATCTGTTTTGAAAAATTATTTTAGTATTAGATAGCCTGTTTATTTAGGAAAGCTACAGGCTATATATAATCCCGGAAAAATGAGCGTTTCCCGTGGGATATATTTGTTTTTGTACTAACCCGAAGCGAAGCGAGGGTGGGTCGCTAGTATAATAAAAATTGTAATATTGTAATGGCAACTAGTGAATCTATATAAAAATAAAATTAATGTAAGTGAACTTGTAACTAATAGTAGATAGTTTCATATATTTTAAGTTCTTTTCCATAAATATTTTATTACTCAAATAGGAGTGGAATGTTACGTCGACTACCGTCACCGTGTGACGTATTACAATCTTAGGGCTAAAGTGATCGTACTATTACTCTCTATAATGTATAATAAAATATATATAAATAGTTATTACCCAGCGTTAGCCATATAAATTTTAATATGATTGTTAAGTATTCTTAAATTTTATAATTTTGCGCGAATTTTTTTATTTTTTTTCTTTCATAAGAACCTTCTTCTGACAATAACAAACACAAAAAAAAATAGTTAAATCGGTCCAGCCGTTCACGCGTGATGGCGTGACCAAGGGAAATAGGGATTTTTATTTGAGTTAAACATTATAAAATCATATTTATATATTTAAATTTTCTGAATGTTGTATGAAAGAGTAAAATAATCTTATACTACTAGCACGTTTTGTAAACCTAAACAATACTTAAAATTAAAAAAAAATTAAACCGTCTTAAAAAAACACTAAAAAAAGTAAGAAAAAACTAACTGAACGGGGGTTTTCATTTACTATACCTACCCAATCAGATATTTTCGAAGTCTGTGCCAGCCGATAAAGCAAAGCCTGTCTATTTCGATACGTATAAATACATCACTAATTGATGTTTTAACTATAATTAGCGTTCATACTTTGTCATATTTACCTATTAGATATTAATATTTTAAAGTATAACCTCCTTTTCTTTTGAGGTTGATTAATAAAACTAAAAAATAGCTTATAAACAAAACTTCCTCCACTCCACATCCTTAAAAAAATCATATCCATGTAAATCCCTATTGCAACATATGAAGACAAAAGTCATAAACCGATAGACCAACACAAATTCACATTTATGATATTAGTTAAAGCACTACAAGCTAGAATTATATAAAACCATATCAGTGACATCGATACTAATAGCTATTATTAAAAACTAATATCGAAGTGCACTAGCAGCTTTACGAGCACGCCATATATATTTTTAAGGCTTTTACATACAGAAGCCACTTTAAATATAAATCTATATCAAATACGAGTTTGTCCGTGAACTAACAAATTAAAATTTAATGTGTATATGTGATATTGTGATTCATAATATAACGAATAATCTAACGAGCTTAATATCCACCCCCGTAGCAAGCGTAGCGTAGACTCTACGTCAGTGTCGTCCCAACCACGGCGGCGAGCGCACGTAAACTGTGATCGCCCTTCACGTACTAACGTCCTAAAGCAATGCGATCGCTATTTTAAACAAATTTTAGGTATAATCGATTTCTTTACAACTGGTATGATTCCTTAGATAGAGAAGCGAAATTTGGACGTTTACTATATTATGGAATACGACTTTTGTGTTTTGTTCGTGTGATTTGTGACTAAAACGGATGAAGGGTTGTGTTTGATGGTGAAAAGTCGTCAAAATTAGCTCTTACGCGGAACTCGGTGCGCGTGCGTCGCCCCGTGGGGCGCGCCGCCGTCAGTTCATTAAGGGTTGGAAGAAAACCATGGGGGTTATATCTAAGACGTTCGGCGTCGTTTTCAGTCTGTGAGTATGAACTTTATTTTTGAAATTTTATACTTGCTCGTAAAATATTAGTTTTTAGTTATGACTGTTGTAATAATTGTTGATTAAATAAAGGTTTTTAAAATAGAGCTTTACACCGCTTACATTTTCTATCATTATAGTTACCAAAGTTCTGTGAAAGCTACAATTTAAACTTTCATTTTTATATGTATCTAATTTATAATCCTCAAGCATGCTCTATAAACACAACATATCGCGGCAATTTATCGCCTAGCCCGGTGGAGTACAACGACGCGTAATAAAAGCCTATTAGATTGCGCAAGCGTTCGCACGTAGATGCTTTCGCTCCACTAGCCCAATGGCCCTACGATTTATCTCGAATATTAGACCCGTTCCACACTATAGCTTCTACTTTATCTCAGTACCTAGTACACCTGTGATCTATTTGATCAGCAGTTTAATAAGTTTCTGTTTTTTGCAGATTGCATATTTTTTAGTTTAATTATTAAAATCATTTGGCAAATTAAAAGCACAGTGTGTATTTAGCTGCTGATTTTCCTACAAATTGGTGTGGTTATGCAAAACTTACGACACAATATATATGACTGCGGGTCGACGCATTGTTTTTCTGTTAATTAGTTGGAAATTCGCACAGTTTCTATTGGAATAAGTAGGTTATCTTAAAACAGTACGAATACGTAACAGAGTTTCTCTTATATTTGAAAATTTTTAAGATATTTTGGATTGATTAAGCTAATTATACATACTTCGCAAATATAAGAATACTAGCATTGCCCGCGGCTTCGCCCGCGTTTAGATGACCCAAAACCAATTCTTAGGTTTTACATATTAGTATACTCTTACAATAAAGTTTTTGTATTTTTTCTAAGAAATGAGATATTTTCCTGCGGTAAAAAGTCCTATATATTGACCCGGATAACCAGCTATCATTATACCAAATTTCATCAAAATTTGTCCAGTGGTTTTCTCGTGATGCGGTAACAGACAGACAGACAGACAGACAAAAATTCTAAAAAGTATAGATTCGTACTCTGTATCGATAATAATGTCTATTTCAATAAGATTTTCCAAAAAATATTTAATGTACAGATTCGACTTAGTTACAATTTTATTATATGTACAACAGATAGTGCGTTTTAGTAAACTATTATTTTTATAAATCTGAATATTTCCATGCTCTATTGTAATTACAAGATCGAATGTATAACAACCCTTATTATATCATTATATACATCCGTTACAAGTCTTCGCTATAATTGAGTGTGATTTTAGAAAATGAGAAATTCTATTACATTGTGGCGATGTCGGTTTTAATATTTCCGTGTAAAAAATATGTATAATCTCAATATTTTAGTAAAAATAAAAAATAATTCATTGTTTTATTTATTTAACATCTGTCAAATGGCTTTTTTATTTACTATTGTTTGGATTTTTAATATGTAATGAAAATGTTGATTTATAAAATATTGAAAAAAAATATATATATATATATTTTTTCAATATTTTATTATAAATATCTATCTTTGAATTTAAGTTATTTTTTGTGATTTGACAATTCATAATAAAATTAATTTAATCCAAGATCACTTATACCTAAAATAAAATAAAATAATATGAATAATTAATTTATACTAATATTTTACATATAGTCAGAAATTGTTATTTGTTGAACGCGCTAATCTCAGGCACTACTGATCTGATTTAAAAAAGGAAGGCTATATGCTATATATCATATATAATATATTGTCTATCGATATAACTGACGAGGGATAGGGAGGATGTCGAGCGAAGCGAGTGTGAGTCGCTAGATATACAGTTTAAAATTATTATTCAGTAACAAATTATATTTTTAGGTAAAGTTTTTTTTTTTAAAGAGTTTTTACTTTTTAATGATAATTTCACTTTCCAATCTCACTTTAGAAGTAGCCGCGTTATCATAAAGAAAGTGAAAGAGTCTTGTAGCAATTACATTTTACTGTATTTTAAGAAAAGGCGGGGGTCGTCAAAGAATACTTTGTTGTTACAACTACTCTAGGTAGAAGAGATTAGGACGACCATTGTACCTTGAACCTTTTTACTATCTGATTTTATATAGAAATGCAGCGCAATAAATTGGGGACTACAACAGCAACAAATACCCGTACCAACTTTTGTGTCGAAACGTTTGATCCAATATAATGAGAACCGCTTTCCTTCCTATTGTTTTATAATAATGGCGTGTAATTGAAATTCGTAAAAGGAGATTCGATTTAAAATTTTGGTATCACGCCATGTTTTATACGAAAAGGATGGTTTTGTATGGTATTTGTAAATTTCAGAGTTTCCTGCTGTGTAATTATTAACGATTTTAGGTTATTGCATACAAAATATATGTTAATTTTAAAGAATTCACGTTAAATATAATACTGTTCTATTTATTGTACCGTTTGGTTCCCTTGAAAAGCCAATCTACATTTTTACACTACTATTATAAAGAGAAAACATTTGTATTTTTGTATGTTTGTAACGAATGAACTCAAAAACAACTAGCCACTTTGATGAAAATTGATAAAAAGATAGTTTGAGACCCTGGGAAGGACGTAGGGTGTTTTTTATTCCGGAAATCGTCCCTTAAGGGGGTGAAAATGGGGATGAAAGTTTGTATGGGGTATCAGCCTAGCGACGAACCCGAGTGAAGAGATAGTGAGTCGCTAGTAAATAAATTAACTTTTTGAATACTATGAATAACTGTGTTAATAACCTATCAAAAAGGCTTATCGACATAAAAGGTAAAGAAAGGTCGCATTAACGGCCATACTCCAAAAATGTTGAAATTGTGATAAAAGAAAAGATAAACGAAACAAAAGGATAGTTAGCGCTAATTTATTTGTCACACAAATTAAATGTTATCTTTGTACATCTTTGTAAGCAGAATATAAAAAATGGCTAATTTGGACCCACATTTTATATTATACTAGCGATTCACCCTCGCTTCGTTTTAACGTTTAGTGTAGAGATGAGATATTTTCCCGCAGTCAAAATTATCACAAATGTTGACCCGGATAATTAGCTATCATCATACCAAGTTTTATCGAAATCCCTCCAGTGGTTTTCCGTGATGCTGCCACAGACAGACACACATATAGACAAAAATTGTAAATTTTATAGATTCGGCCTCTGTATCGATAATAATGTATTTCAATAAAAAAAAAACGAAAAATATTTAATGTACAGATTCGACTCAGAATTTTATTATATGTACATACTATTTCGTAGTTGTCTGGTTTAAGAAAAGATAAAATGTAGACTATGACTATGACCATAATGCAATGTATGCTAAATTTCATCGAAATTTATTTTAGCTGTTTCAGCTTGAAAAGGTATCAGAGTTACTTTGACATTTATAATATTTGTATGGATTAATCAATTTATTCGACTGGAGTTTAAGGGTAGAGGTTAGTTATTCATTTAAAAACGTTTGTAAAGTTATCTAAACATTAATTCAGAAAAATATCTTCATAAATAGGAAAACTAGTTTCGCTCTTGCTATGTTTATAAACATAGCTAGAGCGAAACTACATTAATAAATAATACAACTATATTAATAAATAATATAACTATATTAATAAATAATATAGCCTATATCATTTATTAATAATTCATTTGCATATCCCGCGTGTGTAAACAATCAATACTTTTATCATTTACATTATCAAACGAGATAATTAAATCTTGAATGTATCCATTAGCTAAACAAACTCAGTGATTTACAGCCTATGATCGTTAATGGGCAATACGACACGACTGAAGTTTTATACCAATCGTAAATCGATCGTAACCAACGTTTCGTGCCCACATATCGTTAGTCGCGGTCCAATCAAAACGTCGTAAAGTGTAATAGTACGCTCGTAATATACTGTATTCGATATGGGAACAACCATTGTCTATCAGAACGATCTGATATCAATAAACAAAGCTGCCCCACACTTATACATTTTAAACCACATTCTCTGTTAAATAAGAATTAAAGTAGTTAAAATCTGATTGGATATTTCTAAAGTCAAGTTTTGGACAAACATTGTGTTACGGATATAAACGTGTGTGAAGAATCGTTGTATTCTATGCTCGTTGTGGTTTATGGTCGAGCTTTTCACGCTTCATACTATTTTGTTTTGCCTTTCCTCTTTCTATAAAAACGTTTTCGATTACGGAAACGGTAATGGTTTAATTACGAAGGCGTACATTAGTGTTCAGAACGCGACTCTGTCTTCAGTTTAATGTTTATTTAGTCAGAATAAAACTGGTGTTTTTTTTTTCGGATCTATTCGCGCTTTTATTGAGATTTTTAGTATGGAGAGTCTTGTTTTTGGAAGCAAAGAGCTTTTATATTCTTAGGCTCTTCCATGAACAAATGACAACTGTAAAAAAATACGAAACATGTTTTTTTAAAGGTCAAATATTTGTTTAAATCTAAAAAAATGTTATGGAAAACGTAAGAAATTAGAAATGCAAAGAGTTTTTAATAGATACATATTTCTAATTCTAAGTATAGTCAGTAATCTGGCAATTGTTTCGCATTGTAATTAAAATAATTATAACGTAATAAAAAGGGACAATTCTCACTAACGACAGTGTGCGGCACTCGACCTGTGCATCCAGATGTTCCAAGGCTGACTGCATTGTGTCATACAACTTGACATTCAATCTACTCTCATCTAGTTACTAGTTGCGGGTTCTAAAACAGGCTTCCATAGCGATCTTTATTTCAAGTTCTATCGTTACTTTCTTTGACGTTTAAAAAAGTACTAGCAGGTCACCCGGCTTCGCTCGCGTTAGATAAATAAGCTATAGGTAGGTTTCATACAAATTTTCATCCCCTATTTTACCCCCTTATGGGATGTATTTTGAAAAATGTTAAAACACGTATTTATTTAATTGTATTGAAGAGCTTTAATACCAAGTTTCAAGTAATTCTGATCATAAATATTTTTTGGTTTTTATTGTAATGTATTTTTCAGTGG